TTATCTTCAATAGCATGTCTTGAAGTTTCTTGCCTTGCCTTCTTGTTAAATAAAGGTCGATCTTCCATAAATTCACGAGCCTTTTTTATCAAATAATAAATAAATCATATTATACGGATGTAAGTAATAAAATCATATGCATATTTCATAATCACATTATTGTTGAATTGTTATATTTCCATACAATTTCTGGTATAAGTGGGTCATCAGGATTTGGATCAGCCATCAAGATGCTTAAAGATGTTAGTGTAGTAGAAATGTTTAATGAAGGTTTCCATGACCCCTTAGATATATGTTTGCGTGAAGAAAGGTAAAACAAATAAATAGTTAATTAATTTATTTGTTTATTCACATGGCGATGTTCAAATGGAAGAGACCACCTACTTTAGGAGGCATTGTTAAAATATCAAGACAAATTCTACCAACATCATCAATATTTGGATGATAAATTGGTGTCAAGAATTGCATTCTGGGTGGTTCTAAAGGATATCTAAAATGTAATAAAACGTGAATTAAATAAATAATGGCCGCACGTTGATAAATATTATCGATCAGTTATTAATCATTTAGTTACCTTGGCGGAATAACAACGTCTACTTTGAATATACCTTCTTCATATGGTGTATCCTTTGGGCCTTTTATTCCTTTTTAGATGAGACAAGTTATTTTATGAAACAAATTCAATTTCATCAAAAAATCATGCAAGTAAACAGATAGAGATAACATACGTGCACAGAAATGCATTAAACTATCATCAACAGGATAACATATAATGCCTGGAGGTGGATCACGCTCCAATATTTCTGATTTTTTTTTTGAACATTTTATTCGTAATTTAATTAAAATTATCAAATAAATTTTCTTTTCAAAAAACTTTCTTTCCTTCTACTTTATCATTATATTATTCTTTATAAAGGCCCAACATACATACATGTATATGTATATGTATATATATATATATATCAAAAAATAAATATATAAATAATAGTAGTGAAATAAATAAAAGATTTTAAAGTGAATAATGTCTTCATATGCTGCTACGACAATTTATCAAAACGCGCATTCTTTAACAACCATACCAACTTCGAACAATACTTTCAGAGATCATCATCCTCATCATCATAACCATCATCAATCTCATCAACTACCACAACACCATCACCATCATCATCAACCTCATGTCTCTGCTAATCATATGATCTCTACTAGTACTGCCGCCACCGCCGCTACCAGTAATAATAATGCTACAACTGCAACTACAACAAGTCCATACTATCATCATGTAAATCCTCCTAATTTTACAACACCAATTGATCATCAGCAACAACAATTACTACCACAACCAATTTCTTCTCAATCAACCTCCATAAATAACTCCTCATCATGGTCATCCTTGGCTCCACATGATAAACGTTTGGCCTATCAGTCATCATCTAGCGGATCAAATAACTTATCATCTTTTCATTATCAACAATCAAACGGTCCAAGTAAGTAAATAACAAAATTAATTATACACGTGAGTGTGTGCGCGCGAAAGAGAGAGAGTGTGTGTGTATGATATGATATGCAGAAAAGTAAATGATAATAAAAACAATAACAAATATTATTTTTATTATTATTTACGTTGAAAAAAATTTTTATTAATACTACTATACTTGATAAAAACGAAATTTTTCATCTTCAAAAAAATTTTTTTATTAAATACACAACCTTAAAAAAATAATTTTCCGTATTTCTAAATTAACACGACAATGAATAACGATGATGACAATGACAATGATTTTGATTATATAATGATGATTGATGATGATGATTATGTGACTTAAAAATTTGGTTACCGTTAAAAAATTTAACGACTATTTATGTATTTATTTGTTTATCAACAAAAACAACGGAACAGCACAACATCTATTAAAACACTGACAAAATAGAAAACAAGAATCCAACTTGGCTAAGATCTGTTGTTAATTAATATTAATTATTATTATTATCGAAAAAAAAAATTTTAAAAAACAAACATTTTGTAACCAATATTTATCGTTATCGTTATCATCATCATAATTTTTAATTTAAAAATAATATATATATCCCATTTATTATCTTTTTTTTCTTTTTTTTTTTTTTATTAAAATAAATATATCATTGACGAATTATTATTTATTATTATTTTTTTATTATTATTATTATTATAGTATATTATATTAACTCTTTAATTATTTATTATTAATAACATATTTTAAAATATATTTTTTCGTAGTGCATATGGTTTTAGATGAAAAATTAAAATCATCATCATTACAACAAAATATTACGTTGACGGCCTCACCCTATCAAGTTGCAGTTGCAGTTTCTCAGCAACAGCAGCAACAACAACAAAACAATTTAATGTCACAACGAATCACCACCACCCATAATCATAATCATAATAGTCAAATCTCGCCTGCATTATCAAACTCATTGCCTACTTCACCATTAAATTATAATGACCATCACCATCACCACCAACAACAACATCAACATCATCAAATAATATCATCACCATCATCATCAACATCGTCGACAAATGATCTGACAACAATAATGGATAATAATCTTGATGGTATTGATATGAATGGTAATAATGTGATGATGATGAAAAATGGCGGTAATGCAGCATCATCATCAACACGTACTTTAACCAACTCAAAACGTGCTGCTCAAAATCGTGCTGCTCAACGTGCTTTTCGTCAACGAAAAGATCGATATATTAAAGATTTGGAATCAAAAGCAAAAGAGTTGGAATCAACAAAAAAGCAAATGGATGAGTTGAAAAAAGAAAACATGGAAATGTCATTAACTATTAAAAATTTAAGAAATGAAATTGAAAAAATGAAATCTGCTGACGGCAATGGTGGATTATTTATGAATACTAATAACGACAATAATAATTCCAATAGCAATAATAATAATAATGGTAATGAAACTGGAGGTAATAACCATAATAATAATATAAATCATTTAATTGAATTAATAGACGTAATATTATTATTATTATTGTTAATATAATTCTTACTACTACATACTACTACTACTACTACTACTACTACTACGTGCTACCACCACCACCTACTATTATTTACAACTCCAAATTAAACAGTTACACCATCACCAACCTCATCATCAAGCTATTATGGAGGAAATTCATCAACAAAAAATGACGATGATGATGCAAATGAATTGGAAGAACCATGGTTAAGAGGTAAAGACCACAGCAATAATAATGGTGTAAGAAAAGATGGTAATAATCATTATTTTAATATAAACGGTAGCGATGATTATGACAGAAATTTTAAAGATGATAATATTAATCATTATGTTTATAATCTTAACAATTCTAAACTTTAAATTTTAAAAATTTTGATTGCCCTTTAGGTAATGCTTTTACTGGAAGAAATGAACATCATCACGGCGGTAATAATAATAGTGGTAGTAGCAACGGCACTAATCATAGCAATAATCATAATAATAATCATCACCCTACAGACACTTCAGTAGATCCATGTTTTAGACCCGATTATCGCCACCGAAATAACAATAGTAGTAGTAATGGTCATGGTAGTCCATCGTTGTCTCCGCCATCAATGACCACTGAAAGAAATCATCACAGTCATAATAATAATGGTGACACCAGCGAAGACAATAATTATCACTATTTAGATGGAGGAGGTGGTGCTATGAGAAACGGTGGTGGATATAATGTCAATAATAACAGTAATGGTAGTCACAATCATCACCATCACAATAACCATAATCATAATGAGGTTGATTCGGATAGAGTTTATGATGATCTATGTGAATTATTGAAAACAAGAACAAGACCTAATAACCTTGGTAATGGTACGGTGATGATACACAAAGTATTATAATATAAATCATTACAATCAAATAATAACAATAAAAGGGAAATTTTAATATATATATATATATATATATATTTGTAAGGTTTTTTGTTTTTTTTGATAGTTTTTTTAATTTATTTTATCACAATTATTCATTCATTCCATCCATCTATGATTTTTTATTTTTTAAGAGAGAACAAGAAAAAAGATAATAATATATAATATATATGAATTAAAAAAAAATGTTATATATATAATTTCCCCTTTTTACACTAACATTCACCCCACTTTATTAATATACTCATTTCTCGTATATAGTTTGTTTATATCACGTTTGTGCTTTTATGTATATATTTAAATAAGCATTTTTATTTTTATTTTATTCTTTATTTTTTAACCGAAAAAATTTCAGGAAAAAAAAAATCAAAACTATTAAAAAAAAAACGAATAATAATTAAATATACAACTTAAGATCATAAAAAAACTTATATTTTATTATTTTATTTTTCATTTTTTTCAATTTTCTACGCGTAATAATGAAAAAATTGGTGTTGTAAAATTAGGAGGATTTACATGATGATAGTATGGACTTGTTGTAGTTGCAGTTGTAGCATTATTAT